AAAAAAAGAAACAAATGACCTCTTTGATAATGAGAAATAGATATGTTTAGTAATCCATTCTATTTTTTATTTATAAAATTTAAAAAACGTTTTTAAAATTTAGGTCAAAATAGTTCTTCCTTAAACAAAGATTATAATTATAATTATAATGTTTGTTCCAGGAAGAACTATTTCTTTAAAATTCGGTTAACAAGCATGTATTTAAAGTAAAATGCAAATAAAGAGATGAAAGAAATAAATAAATAAAATAAAAAGATTTTTTTGAGATGTGTCACCGATATTGAGGAGAGAGAGAAAAAAGAGAGATAAAGAGATGAAAGAAAGAAAGAAATAAATAAATATATATATTTTTTCGATGTGAACATCGATATTGGGCAGAGAGAGAGAGAAAAGAGAGGTAAAAGAGATGAAAGAAATAAAGAAATACAATAATATTAATATTTTTCTTACCGATGTACGGAAAGGGCAGAGAGAGGGAGAGAAAAGAGAGATAAAGGAGATGAAAGAAATAAAGAAATACAATAATATTAATATTTTTCTGACCGATGTACGGAAAACATTTTACAGAAAAAAATTTCACATATTGAGAGAAATCGATCGATCTTCTTCTATAATTTTAAAAATTTTCAATCATGGGAAAGAGAAGCAAAAAAAAACCCTAGAAGAATGAAAGTAATAATGGAAGAAAAAGATGAAAGAAACAAATACTTACTCTCTAAAAGTATGACGTTACTTAGAATGGAAGACAAAATTCTTACTCACAATCGGAAGAATGTAGAATAAAGTAAATGTAATTGGATATATATATATATATATATATATGAGTGACATTTTAAAATTTGAAATCACGTCTAAATTTTAAACATAAAACCTAATTTGATATAATTAGATAGAGATTGAGCCAATCAAATGGATAATTTCACATTTTGAAATTTGAAATTATGATTTAAATTTTAAATGCAACACCCAACTTTGACCTAATAAGGTAAAGAGATACTAGATAGAACAAACTCGGGTGGGGGAAAAGGACTGGTAGGAAACACGTTCGGGTATTGATTTTTTTCTCGGTACATTTTTTTATCCTTAGTTTTGCCCTGATTTTTTCCCTTTAAATTCATAACTTTTAAAAACTTCAATTATGGTCCTTAGGGCAAAAAATAATATGGGGTCTAAGGTCAATTTTTTTATAGAGCCAAAAATTAATTAACATATATAAATTTTATTTTTTAAATTAAAAATTATAGAAAATAAGAAATAAAAAATAATTATCTCATATATTTTTGTTTTCTTTTTCAATTGAGGAAAAAATAACAAAATGAAGAACAATTAACATATGAAGTTCTATTTTTATTATTAAAGAAAATAAGAAAATAAACTAATGATCTATTCGATAACGTTTAAGAAATAGATATATTTGGTAATCCATAATATTTTTTGTTTTTAAATTTTGAGAAACATTTTTGAAAAATGTGTTAAATTTTAAAATTATCTTTGTATAAGAAAGAAGTGTTTCTCTAAAATTTGGTTAAGAATCATATATTTAAAGTAAAATGCAAATAAAAATATGAAAGAAATAAACAAATACAATAAAGAATATACATATATATATTTTTTAGAGGTTCGATCAACGATATTAGGGAGAGAGAGAAATAAAGGGAGATAAAGAGAGAGAGAGAAATAAATACAATAATATTACTTTTCTTACTGAGGTACGGAAATCATTTTACAGAAAAATAAATTTTCACATTTTGAAAGAAAATCGATGGATCTTCTTCTCTCATTTTCAAAATTTTCACTCATCGCAAAGAGAAGCAAAAAAGAAACCCAGAAGAATGAAAGAAAAAAACCAAAGAAAACAGATGCTTACTCTCCAGAGGACTGATGCTGTTTAGAATAGAAAATAAAAACGAAAGAAAACAGCAAACAAAATTTTCTCACAATCGAATGAATGAAGAATAAAGCAAATGTTATATATATATATATATATATATATATATGACCTTTTAAATTTTAAAATCACGTTTAAAATTTAAACGCAACATCTAATTTAATGTAATTAGATAAAGAGATTGATCAGATTTAAGCATGAATGACATTTTTTATTTTGAAATCACGTATAAAATTTAAACGCAACTTCTAATATGAAATAATTAGATAAAGAGGTTGAACAGACTTAAGCATAAATGACATTTTGAATTTTAATTTGAACGAAACATCTAACATGATATAATTAGATAAAGAGATTGAGCAAACCCGAGCGAATAAGAGGACTGATAAGAAACATGTTCAAATATTGATTATTTTTTCAGTTTATTTTTTCATCCTTAGTTTTGCCATGATTTTTAAAAACTTCAATTATGATTATTAGGAGCCGTCGAGTGGGGGCTCAATATAATATGGGGTCTGAGGCCAATTTTTTTTATAAAGGACCAAAAATTGATTTACATATAAAATTTTTATTTTAAAAAATTTTAAATGTTAGACAATAAAAAAATAAAATACCGCACATAATTTAGTTTTTCTTTTCAATTTAAAAAAAATAGAACAATAACGAAGAACAATTATCAGATGAAGTTATATTTTTATTTATAAGAAAAGAAAAATTAGAAACCAAAAATGAGAATCAAATGACGACAAACTACATTTTTGGTCAAGTTTAAGGTAGGTGTCTACTTGGTTCCAGAAGTTTCAAAATGAACATTTTTGGTCGCTGAGGTTTGAGGTAGACGTCTAATTGGTCCCGAAAGTCTCAAAATGAACACTTTTAGTCATTGAGGTTTAAAGTAGGTGTCAACTTGGCCCTGGAACTTTAACATAAACACTTTTGGTCTCTGAAATTTGAGAAATAGTTCTAAATGGTCTAATTAACTAATATTAAAATGACGTGACAAATTGCAATTAAATTGTTTATGTAGTTGTTGATGTGACAAATTATATTAATTAATTATGGTCTAATTAACTAATATTAAAATGACGTGACAAATTGCAATTAAATTGTTTATGGTAGTTGCTGAGGTGACAAATTATATTAATTAATCAATTAATTAATATAATTAATTAATATAATTTGCAATTAATTAATTAATCAATTAATTAATATAATTTGTCACCTCAGCAACTACCATAAACAATTTGATTGCAATTTGTCACGTCATTTTAATATTAGTTAATTAGACCATTTAGAACTATTTTTCAAACTTCAGGAACCAAAAGTGTTCATTTTAAAAGTTCAGAGATCTAGTTGACACCTGCTTTAAACCTCAATGATCAAAAATGTTTATTTTGAAACTTCAGGGACCAATTAGACACCTACCTCAAACATCAGGGATAAAATATATTCATTTTGAAACTTCACGGACCTAACATACACCTATCTCAAACATCAGGACCAAAAATGTATTTTTCTCTAAAAACAAATATAAAATGTGTTTAAGAGGAGCCATGGAATACAATCTTTTTTTCTTCTTTCTTCATACTGAGGTACGGAACGGAAAATTTCTTTCTCCGTTTTTTGATTTTAAAAAAGTTCACTCATTTTCTTGGAAAGAAATATTTTCAATTTTAAAACAAGAAACATAGCTAAAACGAAGGCTAGAACAATGAAAGTAAAAATGAAAAAAAAAATGAAGCAAAAAAACAAATACTTACCCTCTAAAAATCTGTTGTTTAGAATCGAAAGTAAAATGAGAGAGAACACTAAACAAAATCCTTGCTCACGACTGGAAGTATGAAGAATAAAATAAAGGTAATTAGAAGATATTAACATATTAATATATATATACACGAGTGGAGTTTTTGTCATTTTGAATTTTGAAATCGCCATTTAAATTTCAAATGCAACATCCAAACTGATATAATTAGATAAAGAGATCGAAAAAATCCGAGTGGAGAACAAAAACCGATAAAAACACGTTTTGGTATTGATTTTTTTCTCGATATAGTTTTTCATGATTAGTTTTGAATACGGATGTAGGGGCAAACTTTTGACAAGGGCCAAAAATTAATTACATATAAAAATTTTATTTTTAAAATTTAAAGTTTTAGAGAATAAGAAATAATAAATAATTACCACACATATTTTTATTTTCTTTTTCAATAAAAAACAATAATGAAAAACAATTATAAGAAATTTTATTTTTATTTATTATAAAAGAAAAAATAAAAACTAAAAAACGAAAACAAAATAGTTCGTTTGGTAATATTGCCGTGACAAATAGATATATTTAGTAACTCATCTCGTTTATTGTTTTTAAAATTTGAGGAACATTAAACAAATATATATGGTATATTTCTTTAATTTTTGGTTGAGAACCATGAAAGTAATGGATTTTTTTAATATTAATTTTTATCAAATTTATTCCAAAAATATACCATTAAATAAATTATTTTCAATAATAATATTTGAAAAATAGGTGTTGGTCGAGAAGCGACGTATAAACAGTCAGTAAAAATTGTCTCTTCAAGAGACTGCAAGCAGTTGAAAAGAAAGAAATACAATAAATATATAATTTTTTATTGTTTCTTCTTACTGAGGTACGAAAAAATATCTATGGAAAAAAATTTCACTCGCTTTCTGAAAAGAAAAAAAATCTTTTTTATTTTAAAACAGGACACATGATTCTTTAAGCATGAGAAAGAGGATCTAAAAGAAGGCTCGAAGAATCCAAAGTAAAAATAGGAGAGAACACCGAGCAAAATTCTTGTTCAAAATAGGAAGTATCAAGAATAAAGCAAAGGTAAAATATTAATATATATATATATATATACATGCGAGTGAAGTGTCATTTTGAATTTTGAAATAAAAATTTAAATTTGAAATCCAGCATCCGATTTGGTATAATTAGATAAAAGAGATTGAACAAACTTAATGTGAAGATGAACGATAATAAACGTTTGAGTATTGATTTTTTTTCGATCTATTTTTTCATCATTATATTTGCCATGATTCGAGATAATATGAGGTTTAAGACCTTTGTATAGAGAGCCCAAAGTCAATTTACATTTAAACAGTTTATTTTTTAGATTTAAAATTTAAGAGAATAAGGAACCAGAAATAATTACTAYCCATGTTTCTATTGTTATTTTTTAATTAAAAAAAGAGAACAATTATGAGATGAAGTTATATTTTCATGTACTAGAAAAGTAAAATAAGAAAAAAAACGAGAAATTAAAGGTCCGTTTGTTAACGTTGCTGTTGAGGAATAGACATATTTAGTACCTCATCTCATTTATTGTTTCTAAAATTTGAAAACCATTTCTAAAAAACAAGGTAAATTTTTAGAAACTATGAAAAGTAGTTCATTTGTTTCCCTTTTTAAATTAAATTTGTAGGCAATAAATAGGAAATAGTTATCAAATTTATTCTTTATTCTTTTTATCTTTTTCTAATAAATAGTTACCAAACATATTTCTATTTATTGTTTCTTGGACCTTTAGGTGGACGTAAGTGCACCTAGATATAGGGGACCAAGTATTTGACTCTCCATTCTAAAAAAATAAAAATATATTTTTGTTTTTAGACGTAAAAAAAAGTTAGAAAACAAGAAATAGAAAACAAAAAAGGGAAAAGGAAAACAGAAATTTTACCAAGCCAACCCGAAAAAACTTTTTATGATTTCTAAAATTTTTACTCAATATTTGAAAATATTCTTTTAGTTTGGAAATAAGAAAGAAATTATTTATTTAACTAGAAATATTGATCGAAAATGAATTCTTGGTTTCCAACCGTCCGGGGGTCCAGGTTCAAGAATTCCATACGTCAGTGCTTGCGATTTTTTTTCCTTTTCTTATTTTTTTCTTCCCTATTTTTCTTTGGTCTGGCGCTGGTTGCGACTTCTCAATCACTGCTTGCGTTCGCGCCCTCGGATTCGCTATAAATTAGTACTCTCAGTGAGCCCACAAATCATACTTCTCAATCTCCTCACAGCGAAGTCTCGAAGAATCATCCATGGCTGCCTAGTGAGTATTGAGGACTCAGGAAATGAATTTTCATCGCTTTTTCTCGCATTCTTTTTTGCTGGTGAATTTGATTGTTGCGATCTCCTAATTTTTGCAGCGTGGAAGAAGTTCTGCCTCCGTCGTTGGATGCCACTGCCGAACAACCTCCACTCTTCGACGGAACTACCAGGTTCCATTTCCCCTCTTTTCTGTTTCTCGCTGCTTCGATTTCCCGGCCCCCGTTTATGTTGAAATCTGTACTTGTCGATGGTTGGATTTCACTTTATTCTGGCTCTATGTTTCTTTTCCTCTGTTTTTTGAAGGTTGTATACTGCCTACATATGCCCTTATGCACAACGTGTGTGGCTCACCCGGAATTTGAAGGTTTGCTTCTTCATTTTTGAGTTGCAATGCCTTGTTTCTCTTGCCTATATGCCATGGCTGTTTTTTTTTTTTGAATTATAGTTTTTAAGAATATATATCAGAAAGTTCAGCATACCCTAATCTAATTTATCAGCTCAACATGTGTGGGCGTAGTCACTGGTTGAGTGGCTTGAATATTGTGCTAACTTTGAGATCTGATGACTTTTCAATTTTGATGTCTAACAAGTCCTTCAACTTTAAAAAGTGTTTGATATATCTCTAAACTTATACTTTTGTGTCTAAGTTTTTAAACCTTCAATTTTGTAGTCGCAAAATATCTAGTAGACAAAAACTTAGAAATTTAGATACTTATTAGACATAAAATTTGAAATTCAGAGACTTAATTGGCACAACTTCGAAAGTTTATAAACCAAATTTATAACCAAGATTAAATATCTTAAACTATCAACTTTAAGATTTTGTGTTTGAGGGTGGCTTGACTATTATTCTCAAATTTTGCTTACTTTTTTCTGTCTTCTTCGTGGATCTAATTTTTCACTGTGAAGTAATTTGATGGCTTTAATTTTCTGTATTTCATATAGTTTGCTGCAATCTATATACAAATTTAATATACCTTAATCTATAAACTTTTGCTTTTGGGTTTAGTGGTAGTTTAACCATTATTTTCAATTTACTTTTATCTTTCCCTTCCTATGCAAAAAAAAAAAAAACAAACTTTTATCTTTATCTGGATCTATTTTCACTCTGAAGTACTTTGGTACCTTTTTTTTTGGGTATTTAATAAATTTGTGTTGCCACAATTGTTATTTGCTGCTTCTTCATTGGGTGCAGGGACTACAAGATAAAATTAAGTTAGTTCCCCTCAACCTGTTTAATAGGCCTGACTGGTATAAGGAGAAAGTATACCCTACAAACAAGGTGATTCATGTTGAAAAAAATCATATTTTTGTTCCTTGTTCCATTTGCCTGTTCCTTGATGACTGAAAATCACAGTTGGGCTTATTACCTGTAGGTTCCAGCTTTGGAACATCATGGAAAAGTTATTGGAGAAAGCCTTGATCTGATAAAATATGTTGATGGCAATTTTGAAGGGCCTTCTCTTCTCCCAGATGTAAGTAGGCAAAGTTCTATTGCTCGCTATTTCGTCAAACGTAAACATTCGTTAGCTGCTCGAATTTCTCTTTTGCTCATTTTTGTTATCCAAAACAAAATGCAGGATCCTGCTAAAAGAGAGTATGGAGAAGAGTTGCTAAACTACAGTGATACATTTAACATCGGGATAATTTCTTCGTTTAAAGGCGATACAGCAAAGGAAGCTGGTAAAACTTTTCAACTCAACTGCTTGCTCTCTTTGTACGGAATTTTGGTTACATGACCATTGGCTGATTCTTTTACAAATCCTTTTAGGTGCTCAATTTGATTACTTAGAAAATGCTTTGAAAAAATTTGATGGCCCCTTCCTCCTTGGAGAAATCAGTCAGGTAACTTGACCTTTCATAAGCCATCTCTTGGTACTGTTTCTTTTGTATTTCCAATCTGAAAAGTCATAATGTTGGAATTTTAGAAAGCTACTCCTGTGTTGTGTTTTAAGCAAGTAATTCTTAAATTTATGACTGGACTTTCTGTTCTTTAGGTGGATATAGCATACATTCCATTTGTTGAAAGATTCCAAGTTTTCTTATTAGAGGCTCTCAAGTATGACATCACTGAAGGAAGGCCTAAACTAGCTGCATGGATTGAGGTATGTCATATATTTATTTTGCATTCTAATCGTATCGGGAGCTCGCCATCGATAGTTTTGATGAAGCTTTATTGTGAAGATAAATGGTTTCTTCCATACTTTCTAGTTGTTAATTCTTCTGTCACTTGTAGAATCCCGAATTTGTATGTTGCCAAAGTCCCATTTGCCCAATTTCTTGTTCATTGGTTTTCTCTGCTCCCAGTGCGCATTTTCATATCTTCATTTTCTATGTCATTTCCCAGCTTTTTATTCTCTCATGTGGTTTTCTGGTCTGTTAATGGCAAAAACATGCAATTACTACGTCGTTTCTATCCTTGTTTTCTATGTCATTGTTCAGTTTTTTCGCCTTTTTTCTCCAACTTCAATCCTGTCAGAGGAAAAGCAAATGGTACCTGCATATATTTTAAGAACTCAAAACGGATCCTTTCAAGCTCACTTTTTTTTTTGGAGTGCAACATTGTGGGGGTGAGGATTCAAACTCATGACCTTCTAGTCAGAGATAAGTTCTTTAACTATTTGAGCTATGCTCGGTTTGGCCCTTTCAAGCTCTTCTTACAAGCACATCATCTGGTTATTGATCTCATAGTAAACAAAGTAGCGGATGTACCTTTGCTTCTACATGGATTATTATTTTTTTATTTTTATTTCTTTTATTGTATATATATATAAATTTTTCAGTTTCAACATTGTCATGGTTGCCAAAATACTTTGTTGTAGGAGTTCAACAAGATTGGTGCCTACAAGCAAACAAAAGCCGATCCCAAGCTCGTCGTCGAAGTTTACACGAAGCGATTCTTGGTAACATTTAATACGATTTTGAATACGATTTTCTTTAAGAATTTGTGCTCATCTGTTAACATTATTTTTCGTTGTTTGTATAACTTTTCTTATCAGGGCAAAGAATGAACACTAGGGAGGTCAGTGTGTTGTCATATAATACTCAATAAGCAGCTTGACATGTCGACAGACACACTTGACAACATGTTTTTCTATTGTATTTGCTTGTCATGTATTTTGGTAGAGTCTTGAGTGTTGTATTACGTTCATGCATTATGAATAAAGTTGGGTGTTAGGTACTTTTTAAGGATGTTTTCATGTGGGAGTGGGGATCGAACTCTCGACCTCTTGTTTGGAGATATACGCCAATTACCGTTAAACTAATATCCACTTTGACTATCTTTTAAGGATGTTAATTATTATGTATATGTTTACCAAGTCAAAAGAACAACAATATATGCCCAAAGTATACCTAAACTGATTAAGGCAGTTATCATCGATCAAGAAGTCGTGAGTTTGAATCTGCACCCTCAGCACTAATACAAATGAATACAAATGAAAATGACGTACAGATTATAAAGAAGAAATCACTAAATTTCTATTACCGACCAAAAGCAATTTGATGATTAAAAAAATCGATAATTGATTTATAGTTGTTAATTAAAGTCACTTGAATTAGTCTTGCTTACTTTGGGAATGAGTGTCTAATGGAATAAATTGGTGGAACCCTAAAAATTTATCTCCTGACTCATCGATATTGATGTGGTCTCTCACCCGTTAAATAATTATGTTACAACTTTTTATCATATAATTTTTTAATTAATAATTGTTTTACAAATTTATTTGTTCTTTCTTTGTTTATTGGTACCACTAATAATTTTTCTTCTAATAAAAATTTTACAACTTTTATAGGGTGATACGATTTTATTGTAAAATATTACAAATTTTTATTTAATCTACCCATTATTTAAATTTATTTTGTTATTATTAATTAATATGAATAAGATTATTAAATTATAATTTATTATTATTGAATATTATAACAATAAAATTTTATATTAATGGTGACTGTTCAAACGAAAATTATATTAATTCTTTTAGCTAATGTAATTTTATTTTAATGATTTTTTGAAACATATTTTAATTATTTATCATTTCATAATATTAAATAAATTGTTATAATAAAAATATTTACTATGAAAATAATATTAGCTCACTTTTCTTTTAAATATATTTGTAGCTATAAGTAAAAAAATATATTATATTACATATTTTATTCTATTCACGTTTGAGATAATTTTGTAAAACAAGTCTCCCTCACATCCCATAAAATATTTTTGTGAAAAATAAACACTTTACATAATCGTCCTCTCCATTTCTTTTTTATTTTCGACATAGGAGGACTTGAACATGGATTCTGAGTAACAACATCCAGACCAGTAACAACATCCAGACCTATGGGCAGATATATGTTGGGACCAGGAGGGGCACGTGTCCCCTGGATTTTGGTTAAATATATTACAGTATGTATTATATTAAGCAAAATCTTGGATGGCTTAGTGGTTTCCCTTCTACTTAGCCCGTGTGGTGTATCTTTTTAATTTTTCATTTTTAACACATCTATTATAATTTTCTTTTTGATTTTATTTTTTAGGATTTTTTTAACATATCTTTTTTTTCTTTTTTAAATATATTTTTATTGTGATGCAATGAAATCTAAAGTCTATTTTAATTTTCAAAAAAATATATTCTGTGTTTTAAAATAAATAATTTTATATTCTATGTCTAATTAAATTTTTAATAAATTTAAACTCATAATCCTAAACTTATAGAGATGTTATACTTTTTATCCCTTTATTCAATTAAAAACAATCCACTAAAACTCACTAATTTAATAAAAATTAAACTTCTTAAATTAGAATTGGATTAATACAGTTCCAAAACTTATATACTTAAGCTAAATTTTCTTTTTTCTAAATCTAACTCAGAAAAAAAAAGTTATAAAAACTAAAACTAACTCTAACGTCGTTTTTGTTTTCTTTTTTTTTCTAAATCATATCAATTATTTCATTCCACACACTATAATATTTTTTCAACAGATTTTCACATGAAAATTTATAGGAAAATTTGTGATACATTTGAAAATTGCAAAGAATACTTTACAAGTACAAATTGATATACGTTGTCAAGTTTAAATTTACAATTGATATTATTCAATTATCTTTATATACATTTATGTCCCTGACATAAAATCCTGGATCCACTACCATCCAGACCTCCTACGGTTGGGTGAAAAAAAAAGAAAAAAATTAAAGGATGAATTAATATGACATCCATAATTATTTCTTCAATACAAACCATTATTTTATTGGGTCATGTATCTCCCGCGGAGCAGGACTTGACACGTGGCATCTAGAATGTCCGTACAAGCTTTTTGATTCGTCAGTTTTGGTCCCTGGCTGTCTCGAACTAGGGCACAGGGTAACTTTAACAAAACCATCCGCACCGTAACGCATCACCTCACGGACGCTGTAACGTGTAACGTCGTGTATTGCATCTTCGCGCCATCAGGAAAAAGTATACAGAGTTATAGAGAGAGGAAGAGGAGGGGAGAGAGAGAGAGGGAGCCCAAGGAAACCGTTCTGTTAGCGAAGATCAAGTTCCATTTTCGAGATCCTCCATATTCGTAGAGAAAATCCCGAAATCTTGCAGACCTTCTCCACCCCCGAATGGCGGAGAGGGGCATTCACATGCTCCACACTCTCGAGCCGAGAAGGTAAAAATGGTGTTACTTCTTGACGGTTTAGTTTCTTTCAATTTCACGCTTCCTCTACGTGGCATCAATTCCTGAAATTTCGTACAATCGAACTTTGACGAATTCTAGGTCTTACCGTCTTAGATTCTATTGTTTGTGTGTCAATGACATTGTTGGTATAGATGGATTAGGATCGTGTGTATTTTTTGGTTTCAATGCATCGATCCTTGAGTTGAGAGTAGTTACCAGTGTCTCACTCTGAGAATAATGCACATTGTAGAATAGATGCACTCAGGAATGTAATGGAATGATTTTGAGTCTGGCGTGATGCATCCTATAACTATGGGTAGTAGAACTGCAATTTTTTCTGAAGTATGTTGTTGTCCTTGTTGAGCAAGCGCTTATTGGAGGTTGATTCCAGGTGGGTCAGTATATTGGGTAGGCCTTTGCTACTGATGATCCTTCAAACTTATTTTAACCTGCTGCACTTATTGAACATTTTGTAAATGTTTTCAAATTCAATTTTTGGCAATCATTAATTTTTACTTTTTTTGTCTTGAAAAATATTATCTGTTTTCCTTGATATTTGAATCGGCCGTAGCATTAACATTTGCTCGCTCTTTGGGTGCTTTGCATAACCAACAAAATTTTGATGGGAGCAGGGACGCCTATGGATTTGCTTTGAGACCTCAACATACACATAGATACAGAGAGTATTCTAATATTTACAAGGTATTGTTTCAACATCACAGTTCTTACCCTCGATCATTTGGTTAAAAGAAGTCCGTATAGTGTGCATTTTTTTCCCATAAGAAACAAGGTATAGTGTACATTTCGTTATGCATGTAGGACTGATCTATGAGATTTAGTTTGACAGTACAATAATAGGCAGCTAGCTTTTAATCCTTGTTCTGTTGGGGAGATTGCGCCGTGTTCTATAAAGTTTACTTTAGTTGATATCTTTTATGGGTGTTATTGTGATAGTGGGTAAAATTAGGATACACGAGCTCAATAAATTCTCCACTATTTTTATCTCAGTGCATTTATGATATCAGGAGGAGGAAGAGGAAAGGACAGATAAGTGGAAGAACTTTATTGACCAAATAGCTACACCAGTTCAACCGTGCCCTCTTGAGGAGGTGGATGAAAATACGCTGCAGGCTGAAACTAGTAAGCATAAAGAAGAGGCTGAATCGGGGAGGTGTAGCACAGGGGATGACTCAACTGGCTCGAAATCCGTCTCTGTTGATACAGCAGATAGTGGTCCAGAAAAACTGTTACAACCTCCAGTAGAAACAAAAAAACGTGTTGTACAAACTTGGTGTCAAACTAGGCCATCTCTAAATGCCATTGAGATTATGATGAGCTCTCGTGTTAAAAAGGGGAAGACTATGAAAGATGAAAAGACAAGTTTTGGAGGAGACCATCTTCCACCAGTAAAAGAGGCAGAATCTTTAAAAGGAGCAGCCGTCACAAACTCTGAAGAGGAAGAAACTTGCTTTAGTGAAGTGCTAAATCGTAGTGCATCTGCTACTGGAGCAGAAAGTAGGGTGGACGAATGCATTTCTAACAGCGTGAAGCCCTCTGAGAGAGATGGCGTCATGGGTGATACAGTTTCACAAGAACAGTTATTTCCATGGAAAGAAGAACTAGAATTCCTTGTTCGTGGGGGGTTGCCAAGAGATCTGAGGGGAGAGGTAAAGTTTGAATTTTGACTCATGTCAAGCTCCTTTGTTAGGAGGTTTTTTGTAGCTCTAATAATACCTTACAGGTATGGCAAGCCTTTGTAGGTGTAAAGACCCGTCGAATCGAGAAATATTACCAGGATTTGTTGGATCAAGAAACTAATTTTAGTGCGGACAATGAGAACAATAACCCGTCTGGTGTACCAATAAAATTGAAAAAACAGATTGAGAAGGTCATTAGATGCATGCGCCTTGGACTTTATCATTCAATCTTTTTAATTTGTAGGTGCTACTTCTTTTTCCTTGTTTTGCATTTTGGCGAAGACGGTGCTGTAATTATTGTTTTTTTATTTACAGGATATACCACGTACATTTCCGGGTCATCCTGCCCTGGATGAGAATGGTAGAGATTCCTTGAGGCGTTTACTTTCAGCATATGCTCTTCACAATCCCTCAGTCGGATATTGTCAGGTAACTCATGTGTTACGAAATCCCACTTGGCAAGCAAAGAAAACCTTAACATTTTGATCTTCATTAGTGTACATGTAAGAAATAAAATTGAAGATATCCACGTGCGGATTAATCTATCTTTGTGAGTTACAAACCTACACAGAACTAAGATGGTCACTTTTATCCTTTTGTTCAAATGTGTTGCCATTGAGCTTTTGGTAACATCTTGCCATGCTTGAACAAGATACAAGAATGCCAAGCAAGAAACCAGAAATTTCTGAAACAATTTTCATTCTGTCGATGTTATATGTTTGTGAAATTTAGGTGTTGTAGATGTTTGTTTGTTCGTTAATTTTATTTCCTAATCCTGAATATATTGTGAAATTTATTTTATAGTTCTTATTGTCCTGAGTGTAATTTAAGACGTTTTTTTAAGAACTTTGTTTAAAGCTGTTTTTTAGTTATTATTATTATGATTACTTTGTTTTCATTTAATATTATCTGCTTTCCAAATTGATGCAGGCAATGAATTTCTTTGCGGGTTTGTTGCTACTCCTGATGCCCGAGGAGAATGCCTTTTGGTAATTCAAATCAGAAATTTTCTTTTCGCTATACATTTAAATTAAAACGGATGTTTTCTAAATAAATTCTCTTTTACTTGTTTGAGAGGACTTGTTTAAGATGTTTCAAATGCATAATATTTATTCCTCGTTTTCATGACTTTATTTATTTTCTTTTGTTAATTAGGCTCTAAAGTTCTTGTTCAGCTGATGTTTTAAACACAAATTCAACATTATTTGTTAATACATTCAAATTGCAAATAAATGCACCGAGAAGTAGTTTTAACCTAAGGCGCAAGGCTTTTATTTGATTTTAGTAGGCAACTGTCCCTCTAAGATCATATCTTCACTTACATCCTTGTGTGATTACCTGCCCAAAGATGTTATGGATGAATTGGTTGCTACATTGTCCAGGACTTTCGTTGGAATAATTGATGACTATTTTGATGGATACTACACCGAGGAAATGATAGAATCGCAGGTACTCTTTAGAATTCATAATCTTTTCATTACTTTGTTTCTGGAGGCTATTGCATCGAAGTCTTTACGCTTGAGGTAGTGTTGTTGTGATTATCAACTTTTCAGTATCTGACTTTTTGTTGATAAGTGACTTGATTATGAAAGATCTCTTATTAACTATAATTTACCCACTTCCTCTAGTCTACCTTTCTCTTATTTTATTTCTTATTTTTAATTGTACTCAATGATTGTATGGATCTACTTTTGAGTTAAAATTGTGGGTGGCAAATTTTTGAGTTATATTGTTGGGTCCAGTTGGCTTAAACGTATTTAAGCCTATGTATATGAATATAGATCATGAAGTAGGCAGCTCAGGTGTTTGACGAGGGATTCATTCTCATTTCACACACGTGGAGTGGATGTTAATATTCATTGAAACTTCATAATTTTCTCAATGTTTTATGTCATAACAAATTAAAAGAATTACAAGATCATAACCCCAATGATGAGTGGTTAAACTCTGGTCATGGTTTAAACCCCCTTTGGTGGCCAGTTCACAAACGTAGAATTTTAAATATTTCATAAGTTCCCATATTACAAAACGCCATAGAGAGCTTTCTAGTTGAGAGCTTAGGTCAAATTGAATAACATTTGGGAGTTGAGAGCTTTCTAGATATGTTATGGTGTCTAACCGAAGGCCTTTTTTGCTCTCTTCCAGATTTTTACCACAAAAAATTACACGATATATATATATATATATATATATTTTTTTTTTTTTAATTTTTAATTTTCATGTACTTTGTAGTACACAAGGCATTGAGTTATATTTTTGTAATTTAAATCATTTACGTATACATATACCTAAAACATATTCTACTTTTTCAAAAAGCGACATTTTTTTCTGTAATATATCCTATGTATCCAAGTCCTTGCTTCCCATGTTTAGGTTAAATAACATAGCCAGGATCTTCATTTCGCGTGTTGAATATTTAATCTTCTCTATACTGTTTCTATTGTCAGGTGGACCAACTTGTTTTTGAAGAATTGATGCGTGAAAGATTTCCTAAATTGGGTCATACATTTCATCTTTTACCACATTGGCATGTATTTTCACTATGAGACGTCAGGACCAGTTTGCTCATTTATTATTGATGCTTCTGGTGCAGTGAAACATCTGGACTTCTTGGGAGTGCAGGTCACATGGATCTCAGGACCTTGGTTCCTTTCCATTTTTGTAAATATGCTTCCGTGGGAGAGTGGTGGGTTTCTTTTATTCTCGTTTTCAAGGTTGCTGTTTTTTTTTTCTTTCTATCAATATTTGGACGGTTTCTAGATTGACTAGATAATTTCTTGGTTTTGCATTAATTTATTTTCGTAGTGTGAATCTTGACAGTACTCCGAGTTTGGGATGTGCTTCTGTTTGAAGGCAACAGGGTCATGTTGTTCCGGACAGCACTTGCATTGATGGAATTATATGGTACTTTGGTATTGTAAAAAAATTCCAAGTGCGGTTTTATCAGTTTTCAGATGCACGAGAGGGTGTAGTATCATTAATTGTATCATATTTCTCTTCCTTCAGGTCCTGCACTAGTTACTACAAAAGATGCAGGGGACGCCATTACTCTGTTACAATCCCTTGCTGGTTCCACATTCGATAGTAGCCAGCTTGTCTTGACTGCTTGCATGGGCTTTCTGACTGTAACCGAAGTAAGACTACAAGAGTTGAGAAAAAAGCTCCGGCCATCTGTGCTAGCTGTAATTGAAGAAAGAACGAAGAAGGGTCGGGTTTGGAAGGATTCCAAAGGGCTAGCTTCCAAGCTTTACAGTTTCAAGCATGATCCTGGATCACCTGCAGAGGGGAAGAAAACAGCTCTAGGAGCCGATGTAGGACCCTGTACCTCTAATTTGGATGACTTTCTTAATGGAATAGGAGCTGATTCAAAAACAGAATCGCTCCCGGACCTTCAAGAACAAGTAATTCTCTCCTTCATTGGTAATTTATCACCAAATATTTGTTTACCAATTGTTAATTGATGCTTCCTTCGTTCTGAAGGAGGTCAATGATATGGCAGAAAGGATGTATCTCCTTCCCTAGGCTTCAATAAATAATTTGGTGTTGAACTTTTGATTGTTAGTGATTACCCTTGTTGGTAATGCAACCTGCACTTGAGGAGAGTCATCCTTTGTAATTTTAGAATTTGGATCCTGTACAAGAACATTTGTAAGATATTTAGAGATTTGATTATTTATCATTGTCATGCTATTTATTTCATACAAAGGACTTGTCAAGTTAAAATACTATCTATTAATCTCTGTGTACTATTCTCCATTTATTTGGAGGTTATCAGCCAATTGATTAATTATCTACACCCATCATGTGATATGCTTTACTTTTCTACGGATTATAGGTGCATTTTACACTTTAAAAGGCCTTTTTAAGTTTTTATTCTTACAATCCAAAATATTGACTAGGAAATCATTTTAATGAATGGGGTTCAGTTCAAATAATAATCCCAGTGTGATTTCCAATTGCAATGCTCATTAAATGGTACTTGATTTTATGGTTTTCCCCTTGTTTAAGTTACTTACAATCATATGTGACTTTCGTGCAGGTAGTATGGATGAAGGTTGAGTTGTGCAGGTTGCTGGAGGAGAAAAGAGCTGCAGTTCTAAGGTTATTACTAAATTTTATGAGACTTAGATTTTCTTCATCTTTGAGAATTTATATTGGTTACTGTGTGATTTGCGGAACTAGCCTTCATGTAATTGTGTCAAGAAGGTGGGTTACTGAAGCTTCTCTTTCTTTTTGCTGTTCTTTTCCAGAGCTGAGGAGCTAGAAACAGCACTTATGGAACTGGTCACACAAGATAATAGGCGACTATTAAGTGCCAGGGTATAAATCTCTTATTTGTGAGGAAAGATTCCCAATGCTTGCTGTTACCATGATTGCATGTTTGTAAATTATAATTCAAGATGTGCCAATTCTTGTAAAACTGAAAAAGAAAAACCGAGTCTATTTTGTGCCTAAATTTTTAAGGAGCTGTTCTTGCTTGCTGCACGAATTTTTTGACATCACAAAATATTACATAAAAGTTCTCACTTAAATGTTGCATCTCTCTTGATCGTGTACTTCAATAATTATTGCATTCTTCCGCACTTGCTCTTTTGTCTCCATTTTTGGGATGAGATTATTTCTTCATTCAAATGGTCGATGGTCTTACCTCTTGATTTGTGAAGAGTTTCCTCTCCTATACGCTTGCGGGGCCACCTCTTCACAAAGGAAAATGTGCTCCTCTGGATGCAGATCATTAGAGCTTTCTTTTGGGCGACTTGAAATGAAAGAAACTTTTTGATAATATTATCTTCCATACTATATCTTAGTGTTAATTGTCACCTCTATTTCGTTCCTATAGTTTTGTTTCATTATTGACCAATCGGAGAAGTTTCATGTAAGGGCTCTCTCCCCCTCCTTTTGTAAATTCCATACCTCAATAAAATTGTTTCTTATCAAAATAATACCAATAATAATCGCCACATTCTTCATTACTGCTACCAAAAAAAAAAGTTTCCTCCTGCACCCATGTTTCACAGAGAAGCACCCTTTCATCTTTTTTGACTTATAAGCTTTTAGATACCTAAGTGAAGGCTCAGTTCATATATAACTACGCAATGTAAATTTAATATAATTATGAATAGTGGACTTGCTTCTAAAATTCCTCGTTGGGTTTCTAGTCTATACTTAAGACGTTGCTTATTTTCTCCAGGTTGAACAACTGGAGCTAGAGGTAGCGGAGTTACGGAGAACTCTAGCAGAGAAGAAAGAACAAGAAGTTACAATGCTTCAGGTGAGCATCAGTTGAATTACTTTTCTAAACAATAGATATTGATAATTTTATATTGTAGTTGTTGATGCGTGTGGAGCAAGAGCAAAAAGTAACCGAGGAAGCTAGATCAAATGCAGAGCAAGATGTAGCTGCTCAGAAATATGCTGTTCATATGCTACAGGTTTGGTTTTTATTTGGATTTTTTGGTAGTCTGATTCTACTGTGCAGTTGATTTAGATGTTGACAATATAGAGCAGAATTCAATTGTTTTTGTAGCCTAGATAGCTCGAATTTATTGAAAGGATGAAGTGCATTTTATTGGTTTGTGCTTGATTTATATCTGTAGATACAAAGGAACATATACTAGCCTGTATAAATTCTGAAGTTCTTCCTATCCTCACCCTCCCTAATTATGTTAATATATTTTTTCTTTTTGAAAGAAAATTTTGATTATCATGTTCTTTTCAATCCAATTACAGGATAAATATGAGAAAGCTATGGCTTCACTTGCTGAGATGCAGAAGAGGGCGGTGATGGCAGAATCCATGTTGGAGGCTACATTACAGTATGAATCTGGCCAAGTTAAAGCAACAGCATCTCCTGGGTATAAAAGATATTTAAAAGAATATTTGATGTTCTATGCATTAGTTTGATTATTAAAACTTTAGATCTTTGTATTTGTTTATGCTATGAATACAAGGGGATGTAAAGAGCATGCAAAATCTTGCATTACAGAATCTTCATCAGTTTTCCTAGAGATATTTTTTTCTTTCTTGACTGTGTACTAAGAATTTATGTGCTAGAAATTATTCATCTGCGTTATTGATATTAAACTTTCTAGACGAATTTCATTTTTATGAGGGTTGCCCGCTCTGTAGGTCACGTAATCAAGGACCTGCACAGGAAAATCAAAGAAGGATAGGATTGCTGCCATTTGCTCTAGGAGGCTGGCGAGATAGAAACAAGGTTTGTTTTCGGT